CACACTTTGCTGACAGGAAAAGCTCTTCTTTCCTTAACTACCTCAGGAAAAATGTCAATCGTAATGTATTTATTTGTAATCAATGAGAATTTTCATAACAACACAGAAAAACATCTCTTTCATCTTACATTCCTTAAACTGTCATTCCAAGTTTTAATAGCACATTCCTAATTGAGCAAATGGAACAGTATGTGCCTGATTTATATTGTAGCAGTCCCTTGTAGATCTTACCCTTTCCAATTTAGCAAGATGGGTAAATGCAAATTCAGCTGCACACAGGTTGTTTTCAACAAGCTGAAGGTGGGGCACACACCCAAGTTCCTTGCTGATGTGCATCTGCCATGTGCAGTCCATGCAGTTTGGTATTTTTAACCAGCACAGCCCAGCTGCACTCTAGAAGAGCATTGCTCTTATGGAAAGCCAGTCCTCAGGGAGGAAAGGAGCAGTTTTCCCCATCTATTGCAGTCCTAGCTGGGCTTCACATGTGGGGTTAATGGCCCTACTAAGGACTGACCCTCAAAGAGCAGGGTTAAGTTTCTGGCTGCAGCCCTTTCACCCACCTGGAGGACAAAGGGATTTCTGAGGAACAGCAACAGGATCCTCTGGCATGGCTGTGTCTCCCTGAGTGCCCCGAAGGTGAGCAGCTCCCAGTGCTGGAACAGGGGGTGCCCTGCCTGCCTCCAGCTGCATTCGAGCATCTCCAGGTCTGGCTTAGCCTTATCAAGGAGCATTGTACTGTGTATATTACTTAAAAAAAAAAAAAAAAGTTAAAAACAATAAACTTTTTGAAGTGTTTTCTACAATGTTTAAAAACCCAGCTAAGGAACAGTGCCCTAGGAAACCTTGGCTCAGTACCCAAGCATTTTTCACCCATGTTTCAGTTTCAAAAATAGCTCTTGTTTTTAAGGCTAATCTCAAGACAATAACAAAGTAATGATGACGATGATGATAATAATAAAAAGATCTCCACTTCCCTCAGAGATTGGGTAGCAGCTCATGCCTCTTTCAAACCTTATTTTAAATGTAGCCTTTTCCTGTCATAGCCCTTAAGGCAATTTGAATGCTATCAGTGACCAAACAAAGTCACATCACTGTGGAGCAAGAAGTAGGAGATTTCTTCCCTTATTGTTTTAACAAAGAGAAAAATGTGTAAGTTTTTCCTCTTCAAATATTTATCTTCAGCACTGACAAAACTGATATCAAGAGCCAGAGGCATATGTCCACCGGTATGTGCTTTTCCAGTCCTCTCAGCCTCAGCAAGTTTTAAGCTAGTGCTACTTTGGTTGTGGTTTGGTTGGGGTGGGAAATACCCTAAAACTACAACATCTTTCCCTGATTTCAGGCTTAGAGGGCACCCTGTTGCTGCTCCATGTCAAGCTGAGGCCTCCCCAGCTTTCTCAATAGTTCCACTCTCGATGTTATTCCCAGGTCTTTGCCTCAAAGACTGAAAGCAGAGATGAAGTGTGCCTGGGTCTGACATGGTTATATGCTCCTGTGCTGATTTTTATGTTAATCCCTTGATTTGGTTTGACTATGTAGGTTCAAATTGATTATGCAATAAGCTCTTCTGGGAATGCTGAATCTAAATTGCAGTGAACTATCACCTCTCTAGTCATTAGTAATATTTGTTCTGGTAAGTTCTCGGGACTTACTATCAAAACAGACCAGTTGTGCTTCTTCTTTTTAAAATGCCAGTAATGTCCTTTTCCCTCTCATGAAATAGATGGATATGATTGAAGTTTGTTGTTTTTTTAAATCTCTTATGACACTTAAATGTACCTGTTGAATACAGAGGTGTAAATAAAAAACTTACATATAATGTTGCTCACTTTAATGTACCTGTTGAATACAGAGGTGTAAATAAAAAACTTGCATATAATGTTGCTGAAAAATTTTGTAACAATTTAAAAGAAAATCTTTGTTATTTGAAAACAGAAACAAAAACTGAAATATTTTTTTTCTAAAACCTGGGGGTTTTTTAGCTAAAAACTTTACAGCATAGAAATATTTATAAGGTTTCCTGAAAAGTTCTTTTTCATTCAAGTCACATTAACAATAGCAGTACAATAATTTCTAGTTATTACTACAGATGCTGATTTTTAGAGGGGAGACATACTCAATAAAGAGACTATCTGAAACATGTTTCAACTTCTTCCCTAAACAAAATTTTACTTATCTGATAATGATAAAGTTTAAAAAAATATGATAAAATACTGCTGAATTAAACTGTTCATCTGAAGTTAAAAATATTTGAAATCTGGGAGATTCTTTGCTAGGTGGACTAGAAAGCCTAGTTGAAATGGATCATACTTGGAAACTGTTGATGATAAAGGAAAAAAAAGACAAGAAATTTCTCAACTGGACTAATACTGGCTCAGTGTACAAAAACTTTTCATTCCTGACTAGTTAGATGATGTTTCTTTGCTGGAGCAATTACACATTCACCTCCCCAGGGGCCCATGTCCTCATGGAAGTGTTAATACACATTCCTCTCTAAAAGATTTTGGGCATGTCCAGCTGAGGTCATGGTAATTAGAGATAGAAAAGACCTTTTGGATCACCATATCTTTCTCCCTGCCAATGCAATTTTGTTTCTTTAGGAGGTGCATTTACAATTGACTTGACAAAGCTTTGGAAAAGTGACTCAAGATGAGGCTATGGAGACGGTTACACAACCAAGAGATCATAAGAATACTCTTTTTTTTTTTTTCTAGTGTTTTCTTGCATTTTCCTTACTGCTATTATTTTTTCATCTGATATGCACCTGGGAATCCCCAAGAACAATCCAGTTTGGAGCTTGTCTGTCATTAGCAGCTTCCTACTTCGTCACATTGCACATTATCTCACTCCTTGAGCAGACATTCAGGATTCAGCACATGATGGGGACTTCCTTACCTTTTTATTACTCTGTTGTTGAGGCACTTTCTTTCCTGGAAACCCTTAAGCTGTCCTGGGCCTAAACTCAAGTTTGCTACATGTGAACAACAGCATCAAACTCAGACCTGAAAGTAAAACTATTGTTTTGAGAGAGGTTTTGGTGGGGGAAGCAATATATATTTTTTCTGACTTCTTCTGCTACTTCTTATTCACTATACTGCCTCAGTTATACTTTAGTTACTTGTCAACATTACCTCTCCCCAACACCTCCTTTGACTAGATTGAAAAGCCTGATTATGAGCTCACTTAGTCTGGGCTTGCTTCACTGTAATTCCATATGGCAAAGCTGTAACTATAAATGTCAAAGGCAATAGTGTTTTTTACCTCTTTTTCCTGGAGTTAACTGGTACAAGGCAGATGTCCACGTTTCCATTGTCTCCACAAATCCTTGCTTGTATGTGCTGACGTATTTATTTACCAAGAGAGGCTTTTCTTTCCCTGCCTTGTTCACTGCACGATGGAAAAGGCTTCATGTTCTGTCATATTAAAATAAATACCCTTGTACCTAAAGAAGAAAAAGAAATTCCTGTGTAATTGTTTTCAAAAGCTTGATGAGGAGGAGGCTGCCTTCCAGTCCTAAGTGGTGGTTAGGATATAAACAGAAATAATTGGGAGGTTTGTTTTTTAAAACCCCCATGTTCACAGCTGACTGCTTTGCCAGGAGGCTGGACTGGATGACCTCCTTAGGCTCCTTCTCACCTGGCTTAGTCCATGATCCTATGAACTGTTTGAGGTGAACACAGGTAACTTAAATGCATCACTTGGGGAAATTTCAGTACAAAAATATTTGGTCGAAGTTCATTTTATGCTTCTCCTACACAGCTGTTTTTTTCACAAGGAGACAGTATTTTACAAGTAGGTCTTCTAAAATAATATTCAGAATTTATCTCCATGTTTTATTTCTATTCTCCATGTTCTCTTCTGGTATCAGACACTATATGAGACCACAGTTTTGTTACTTGAGAGTTAAATTGCCTGCCAAACTCTGCTTTAATGTCAAGCTGTTGCTTTTACAGAGAAGATAAAAGCTCAAAACAAACAAAAATCTAAAAGAAAATCACACAAAACCACAGCAACTTTCAAATAGCATGCAGACAGCAGGGTGCCTTATAAACACCCCTGCTTACAAAGTCACCTTTTGAAATACCAGCAATTATACTGCATGAGGCACAGTTGCTACTCATGTGCCAGTTGTCACTTTTTAAAAGATGACTATTAGTTATATTTCCTCCCTATGAGACATTGTGAAGCTGCTTAGCATTTTCAGGAAGCAAGAATGTTTTCCAAAATGCATATATCTTAGGGAAAAAAAAAACCAAAACCCACAACCAAACAACTTGGCATTTATAAATGGCATAGCATGTTTTCCAAAATGCATATATCTTAGGAAAAAAAAAACAAAAACCAAAACCCACAACCAAACAACTTGGCATTTATAAATGGCATAGGATATTCATGGCATAAGTAGAAGCTCATTTTCTGTTGCAGGTGAGGGCTGCTGTCTGCACTCTCACTGCAACCTCAGCCACTGGAAGACTGCCATGAATATGTACAACGCGTAGGAGACCAAAAAGGAAGAAAGCAGGAGCAAGTTGTGGAATAGATAGTAAGTCTATAACACCAGCTCTGGAGTTAAAATATTTTTGTATCCATTACACAGAGTTCTGACTGTTGTCCTTGCACCACTGTGGTTTTTTAAGCACTTAAAAAATTTCTAATAAAAATGCTCTTTTAGGTTCATTGAATACTTCCACACAAAAAGAAAGAAAATAATTGAAAACCTGGCTCAAAGGCTGTGAAGTAACATGGGGCTTTTATATGCCTCTTCAACCTCACATTGGTCTCAACCTGTACTCACAGAAATTTGGAATGCAGAGACAGATTTTGCAAAAGCGTTTGGTTTGTAGTAGCTTCCAAATCTCTCTCTGTTATACTTTCTTACTCAGTCTGACATTAAAGGTGCCATTAGAGATGGAGAAGTGGCAGAGACAGAAATAGAAATACTATTCTTGGGGTGAGGCAGGGGGAACAAACCCAACCAAAGACCTTTCCAAAATGCCAACCAAGGCTTTACGTCGCTGCTCCTTTCTGCTCTCTGTGTGTTTAACAGTGAGTCAGCTGAACAGACATGGAACAGGACTCAGAGCCATTGCCAGAAGGGGTAGAAGGTGGGCATGATCTTTCATCACCTTTATTTCAGCCCTTGCACAACCTGTCTGGCACTGTCTGATGGCATCCTACCTCCTGTGTCACCTTTGTGTCCTGCTCAGCCATCCAGTGTCTGGATGCCTCACATGAAGACAGCCTGAACTGGATTAATTAAACAAATGGCACTTGTGCAATAAGGTGTTCTTGCTGCTGTTCCTTGAGAAGCAGCAGAGGCCTGGCATGGGAGTGTCTGCTGTTCTGGCCTTCCTCAGGAGCTCTGTGTTGTGTGAGCCTCATGTTATGTAATTTCTTGTGCCTGCCAGATTTAATTGCAAGCCTTTTCAGAGCTTGGGAACGAAATGACTAGCAAAAGTCTCCAGTGTACAACTAAGCTATGCTGCTCATTTTTCATTGCAATATGAATTTCATGCAGGGACAGATAAATTGTATTAGAAATCACTGTATTAGAAAGCTCTCATTTCTTTCCATAAGTGGCACCAGTTTTAACAAAATGCAAACTGTTCTTTGTTCCTAAAAAACCATAAAAAGTTGCTTGGGAAAGGACAACTAGGTGTTTCTCTTACATGGAGTCAAATGAAATATGGTTGATATTTACCACTCCAACCTGGTTCTGAAGGTACTTTATGTCTCCATTAGCTTCCCAGACTTTATTATAGCTACAGTCTTTATTAATGTGGAGGTTAGGAAGGGAAATAAAAATGTAGTATAATAAAGGGAGTATTTAAATTTGGTTTATTAAGAATGAACAGTATTTTTTATTTTAATTTCTGAACTCTTATATTCCAGGTATAAGCCACCACGGGGTTTGATGCCTACTGCTCGAAAATGTTATTGCTTCTTATTTCCATTTAGGGAGGAAAAATCTTCATTGTTATGGGTAAGTAGTCACAGGAGAACCTGCATTAAATCAAAGCTAATCAATACTGTGCTTAACAATGCATTACCTGGGAAAACAAAACAGATGCTTGAGAAGAGCAGAATTACCATTCAGAATTACCACATTTTGTGTAAGTTCAGTTCTTGCACATTTTTTTGAGGAATCCTGATCAGATCCCCCCCTCATTTTTTGAGAAAGAACAAAATTTTTCTGCTTGCTATATCAGATCTGACCTCTAGCCTCTTATCAAAGAATTGCCTGCATCTTTTCCCTTAATATCCATTTTGGGGTATTCCTAGAATAGTTGTCTTTGAGGAAATGGTTTCATTTGCACTGAGATCTAGAAAAGTTTGTTTTCACCACCATATTTGAAACACCTTTAATTCTTGAGAAAAGGATAAATCTTACCCTTTAATTAAATGGAATGTGATTTTTCTGTGGTTGCATTTATGAGATAGGAGGTTGCCACTCCATGACAGGCACAAAGTATTTGGCTAACAACAGACTTGTGTGCCCCACAAATAACCCTTGCTTTAATCATGTTTTGGTGGAGTGATCATTGCTAGATTTGAGGATAGCTGGCAACCTTTTCTCTCAAGCTAGAGAGCTCAAGAAGAGCTATTTAAGGCTCCTGTATATGGAGAAGCTGTTGAGGAATAAACTAGTGGGAGAAGTTAAAGAGGTGGTCTCTGGGAAGAGGCTGTAGTACCAGACTGTTTCTATGGAGTGCAGTAGCCACGTTGGAAGCCCCTGGTTTTCCTTCCCTGAATAAGGGTGACATCTTGGTTTAGAGTCCACTGTTCCAGTGTCACTTTAATTATGAGGAAATCTGATTTTTCATAAATAGAGCACGAAACACAGAAAAAGAGATTCTAGACATGATTTTGCTTCTGAGAAAAGCATAGGGCTTAAGGGGTCTCTGGGCAGAATGCAAACAAAAAGAACCCCAGGCTGAAGTACCCTGAATGTCACAGTTTTTCAGCATGGCATTTAAAGTCAGTGAAAAGCAGAGTGTGGTGGCAGACCACACTTATCAATAACCTGAATCTCTAAGAGGGACAATTAAACTGAACCAAGCAGGGCTTAAACAGGTAACACTATCCATAGAATAGTTTCCAGGTATTGAACTAATTCAATCAATAAGCTATTTTAAGCTAACCTTTTGCAAATTTTGAATATCAGCATACATCACTGTGATCCAAGCATAGCTACCTCATGCTAGTTCCTTAGAATCAAAAATATGACACGCTGAATAGAAAAGTAAAATGGTCCCATTCAACAACACAGTTCAAGATGGGTGAAATGTAAATAAGAAAACAGCCATATATAGCCATATAGCCATAGTAGGTTACACAACTACAGACAGTGATGCTAAAAACAGAGTTGGTTCCACAAATTCAATCTTCTGTGTGCACTTTTGTTTCAAAATACCTGAATGTGTGCATGTGTGATGCTTGTTTCTTTGCATTCTGGCTGAGAGTGAAAGGGGAACAATGTCCAAATCTCTTTTTATCTCTCATTATTCTTTTGGCACAGGGAAAACTCTCCATCCATCATTTGCATCCACTGGCTATGAACAGCCTGGCTTGAGGTTTAACTCAATGTGCTTTGTCCTTTCCAGTGGTGTGTCTTTGCTGTAATATCATTTACAGTCCCGTGGCTGCCAAGGCACACCCATGTCACCCCTGTCCCAATGTCCCTTTAGATGGGTACAGCGATAGGGTTTAATTCAGCTGCACAATGCAGGGTCGCTGCTCACAGCAAGGCTGCAGCACTGCTCCAAGTGCTGGGGAGAAGGGAAGGCAGGACAAGAAGGTGAGTGTATGGGAATAAAACAAATAAGGAGCTGTAATTGCAAGTAATGTGCTTAGCTTGATTGCTTGATAACCTCTATTTTCAGCTCAGTATGATCATGTGAACTTCGTGGCCCAAACTTTGCTGAAACAATAGATATAGCTGTGTAACCTTTGCTAATTAGAACCACAATAACAGCACATGGCTGCACAGGAGTGCGTGGCCGGGTGAATGGCCAAAGTTAAAGCCCAGTGGAAATATTTTTTGCATGCATTGATCCAAAGCCTAGTGAAGACAAAGGGAATGAAGTCTTGTGCCAGAAGTGAGAAGACTCAGATCCTCTTCTGATTAAGTCTGGAATGTTCTGTCCAGACCTTTTAGTTTCAGGTGTTTTGAAGGTAGTTTGTGCTTTAAGTGCTCTTCTGTTTCTGGGAAATCCAGTCTGGTTATTGGAACACCTTCATGTAAGGGCAGATGAATATGCTGAGTGATAGAGCTGAAGTAGTAGCAGTGGCCTGTAGTGGACATCCTTCCCTGTCAAGGAAGAAACTGTGAAGTTCCTTTTGTAGGAAGGCTGGGGAAACAGAATGGAGAAAAACAAAGTGGAAGAGCTGGAAGCAGATGGCAATACTAATCAGTGATTATTCTGAGTTATATGAAATTTTGAGATCATCTAGTCAGGTATGGGGAATTTAGCAGGGCATAGACTGGTACAAAAATGAGGGGGGAAATAGATGGAGAGGTTTGAGAACTCCCTGCAAGTATGGCAAAGCATTAGGTCAGACTGAGAGCTGCACCACGGGAAGGACAAGGCATTTCAGACTTGAATTTGCCACAATAACAGACTTTTCCTAAAGCTTGGGTCAAAATTACACCAGCAACTTTCTTCCACAGGCAAGTGCAAGCTGAGTGAAGGAACTGAGTTATTTTCTCTCCCCTTTAGCTTTAGTCGCTGCTTGTGGGGCACACCTGAGGTGCACAGACCTGCTCCCCTCCTGGACAATGGACAAGATGTTTTTCCTCAAAGTCACATGCCCATCCTGGAGTGCAGCAGGACACTTGTGTTGCTTGGGCAGAGGTGGAGAAAGCCGCTCTTCTTCCACTTCCACCCCCTCCTTCTTTTCATCTAACAGGAATACCATAATCAGGGAAGTATGCACAGGCTGTTTTGCAAGGGGTCAAATCCATTTGGATGAAATTCCAGGGCTTCAAGGTTAACAATGGCAGGAAGAGATGTTTTTAAGCTGGCCCACACAGTGCCTTGTTGACATGTATGGCCTGCTGCCTCATGCTGCCCACCCTTGGAAAGCCCTGGCTGCTCCCGACACCAAGGAGAACTGAAAGCTCACTGCAACTGGAGCTAAAGGAAAGAACCCCTTCATTAATTATTAAATTATTCTGTGACCATACTTTTTGCCCAAACCTAAGCCTCCTCTTCAATGTTTTTGACGTTTTAGGTGTTTTATGGGATGGTATGTTAGCAAAAAGGGAATTCTACTTTGCCCCTTGCCTCATTTCCATAGAAAACCCTCCTGTACAAACCCCTGTCTAAGCATGGTTTTCATTACAAGCTCAGGTCTCAGATACTTTTGGTCTGTATGAGGGAAATCAGGCTTTACTGATTGCTCCTCAAAGCATATGGGGCAACACACAAGGAAGGCACAACACATAGATTTTGTATGCCTGCTGCTGATGTTGGATGCAGTGTCTGGTCTTTCATTCCTTCAGCTGCTGTTTTTCCTGCTTCCTTGAAATTCCCCAAGAGTTAACGTAGGTGGGCAAATGGACCAAACCCAGGGCACAGGGCTGCATCTGGCATTTGCTTCAGGAATGTGAGTGCTGTAGACTGGGAGATGTTTCTCTCTCAGGCTCTGACCCTGGGATGAGGAAGGGGGAGGAACTGGAGGGCTAGTCCAAGTTAGAGCACATTTTTTCATTTCTAACACGCCATGCGGTGTTCTGCTTGCCTGATAGTGACTGTATGGGAAAATTCTGTCTTATCAATTTGTTAAAAATGCCTTTCTCATTGGGGAACAGGAGACGGCACTCACATGCACAGACAGAGAGTGTAGGAGTGCTTTGGGAGGGCTCTGATAATCGGGAAACTCCAAACCCCAACAATTCTGCAAAACAAAACAGAAACTCCTAAAAGGCACCACAGCCACTAAAAGGAAAAGCATTTTTTCTGTCAGCATAATGACCAAATCAACCTAATTTCTGTCATGACTGTTTCGTTTCTTGGTTTGGTTTTTTTTCCCAGCTGACCACAAGAGTGCACTCACGGAATGATGTCCTGCATTGTTTCCTCTGGGTCATTTCCTTTCCCTCAGCTCTGGAAGCAGCTTGCAGCATGTGGAGGTCGGGGGGTCAGACCTGGGCCCACGTGTTGTTTCTCTGGACGTATAGATGTTGTGTCCCCCGGGGAGGAAGACGCTGCAGCTGTACATTGAGTGGAACATGCTTCCATGATGAGTACACGGACACGTCACCAGGGACACACGCTGGGGGCACATCTGAGTGGCACAGGCTTTGCCCACAGGCTGTGCTTTAGTCTGGTGATGATTTTCTTCCTTATAAGGGATGGCTATACTTAAAGAGCATATCTGAGATTCTCCCACAGTCTCGTCTTGCTGTATAGTTGGGGTTTGGGGTTTTTCTCCTTCCCTTTTTCACCCCTCCCAGTGTTTCTCTACTACTCTTCTGTGACCTTCTAACACTGCAGATCATTTGTCAAGCAGCCAGTAAATGCTAAACAGAGGCCCATTGTAGCAGGCACTTGCAACAATTTGTTAACAATAAATATGATGTGATTAGTAAATACCTCATAATTGAGTTATATTATGTAGAAATATCAGCTTTGGTAATTGCCAGAATGTTGTGGGTTTTTTTTAAAATTAGCTTTCTTCTGAAATAGTTGTGGTGACTTTTTTTCCCTTGCTCAGGTTTTTTCTATACCTCTGATTCAGACTGTGGTCAAAGTTCAGCTCTGACTTTGTATCAGAGCCTAGGACTGAGTCTTAGGATGACTAAGTGGATCGATGATCAGCAGTAGAAATGCGAAGGAAGACTTGAGAGTCGATTCTTGCACCACACACAGTGTGCCTGTGAGTTTGACCTGCCTTGCAGGGCTTTTTTTATCGATAAACGCACTGCTGATGGAAGATGAGTGATCTTTATATCCGGGGATGTACAACACAGAGAACAACAGTATGAAGTTCCACTGGTTCATGAAGGAGCCTCTTTCATGGCCTTGACTACTAATAGCAGAAGAGTCAAGCTGATCCTTCACTTAATGAACTACACATAAGAAATAAAGTCAATTTTTATGATGGCACTTCAAAATAACTCAAGTTTTTTTCTTTTTTTCCCCTGCCTCAATGCTTAAGTTTTGAATTCAATACAGACCAGACTGCCCATAAGCTACAGGCCATATATATATAGCTGTGGGTCTGTGACCCCTATGATTTCCAGATATTTCTTCTTCAGATAATATATTTCTCCAACCAGGAGTGGTAGCCATTTTATATTCCCTCCCAAATTTTTGTTCAAAGTGATTCTTTACAAAATCAGAGCTACATAAAAGTATCACTTAAGGTGCAATTGCACAACCACCAAACTCACAAATTATATGCAAGTTGTAGTGATATGTATACTCAAATGTTTGTGGTTTCACTTCTGCAACAGCACAAAAACAGCTGCATAGCTAAATACTCCAGTATCATTTAATATAAACTCCTTCTCATAATGCTTTTCTCTCTTCCACCCCCTACAACTTTTTTATTTCTACTCCACCCACTTCCAATGTTCCTACAAGCTTTTCAAATTGTTCTGCTCCTTTTGCATTTATTTGTGCTGTACACCATCCATAAAGGCATCTCTGGAACTTTTAAGTAATTTTGCAAAGACAACAGTGGGAAGGCAGTTGCACATCATATTATTTTTGGCTAGACCCTTCAGGAACAATGGCTATTGTTTGGCAAGCTAGCAACAAGGAGGCTGCATTAGTGATATAAGGGTTTAGAGCCTGGGGGTGGTTCCACAAATGATTGTGAGGCATTTTGGAATACGTGTGATTCAAAAACATTTGGCAACATCTGTTTTTTAAAAAAGAAAAAAAAAATGGGAAAAAAAAAGGAGGGGAGTGGTAAAGAGGGGGAAAAATGAAAAAAAGTGCAAATCATCCACAAAACTGAACCTATGGATAAAATAATGCGCTGTATTAACTTTCGGGGTTTTTTCCCCTTGCACATAATTGTTACAAGTGTTGATCAAAGCGACGTTCTATTTGTTCTCCCTCTTCCTGTGATTTTGGCTTAACGAGGTGGTGCTGGCTGACTGCGAGACGCCGCAGGGGGACACCGCGGGGATTTGCTTTGGGGCTGGGGCTGCTTTGGGCCGGCAGACATGCGAGTGCAAGAACGCCAGTGCCAAAGGACTGCCCCCGTGCCCGAGAGGCGAACGCGGCTGCATCCCTGGGAATCCATCAGGCGTGTCCGGCAGCCAATTCCTCACGAACGCCGCTTGGAGCGCTGGGGCTGCCGCACCCCCGAAACGCTGACACACCCGCCATGGGCGATGCAGGAGCTGCTGCGGGGAGGACGCGGGGCGTTCCGCGGTGGGAAAGGGCCCTTCCCGGGCCCTTCCCGGCGGGGCTGGCCCGGGAGAGGCCCCGGGATCGCCGCGGCGCCGCCAGGTGACGCTGTGGCGCCTCGGGAGCGGGCCGCGCTCCCGGCCTGCCGCGCTTCCCTCCGGGAATTGCCCCTCACGGAGCCGCCAAAGCGCCCGCACCTGCGGGAATGGAGCGGAGCTGCCGGGCTCTGCCGCGCTGGTTCTGGCTCCTGGGCACCGCGCTCCGGCAAGGACTTCGAGGGCTGGAGGCGCTGGAAGTGCTGCCCACAGGAGGCCTGGAACCGCCGCACGTGGAGGTGTTGGAAAGACGCGTGGATGTGGCATTTTGGGACATGGTTTAGTGGTGGGCTTGGCAGTGCTGGATTAATGTTTTCATTGAATGACTTCAGTGATCTTAGAGGTATTTTCCAGCCTTAATACCTCTTTGATCGAAAGTGTGGTTCTTCCCTGTCTGAAGCGCTCTTCCACAATTGTGCTTCTCTCTGTCCGCAGCTAGAAAAAAAGCCTGATGGAAAGAAATGCTCTAACCATGGAGCTCCTTTTATGCACGTGTCTTCATTTCCCACTTGAGCACTGATGCTTTTGCACACTCCCTGGGGGTTTCCACACCAAAAACTTGGAACTAACAACTCAAAAAGCACTCTTGTCCTGGTAAATATTGGGTTCTTTCTCCTCTGCCTAAGGAACTCATACCAATAGTGAAACCATATTGTCCTGCGTACTTGGAGGAGGTAATTCTGCTTGCCTTAGGTGTAAAATAAAGCATTATTCTCTTATATGTGTGCTGTTCTCCTGGTACTAAGGGAAATTACCCTCTCAAGGTGAAAGGAGCTTGAAGCTTTGCTTAAAGCTCCATAAACATGGCAGGCAGCTTTATGTTTATGTTTGGAGAGCGTTTGATAGAAAGTGACATTTGAAACACCATTACCATTAAATTTTATAGCTCAGAACTATTACTGGGCCATATCCTAGAGGTTTAACTCAAACTCTCATTTTTAGACTCACCATGTCTGAAATCTAAACTGAAGGGTAGTGACATCAGACACTAAAAGAATTTGGTTTGCTTTTCAGGAACATTGAACACCTTTCAGTGTAGGGTCTCTTTAGGGCTTTTAGCCACTTGTTCTGAGGTCTGGCCTATTGTAACTGTATTTGGTTTTTACCTGATGTTCTTTCCAAATGGTTAATTCAAGAACAGTTTTTAGCAGTAAAGCAGGAGCTTTAGTTCAAGAGTAATTCCTGATATTTGGGTTATTTAAATTAATCCACACTGCCGATAACCTCTTCCTCAGAGGTAAGAGGTTACTACAGATAATCAGCAAGATTAAATACTGACAAAAATTATTATGGACCCATATATGACTGCAATGATTTTTTTCCCAATATTTACTGAATAACTTGCCTGGGAAGTAGGTCTTAGTTTGGCTCTCATGGTTGATTCTAAGCCGTCTCTTACCCATACCCCTGAGACTCTGGTTAATTTTGTGGCACAAAATATTTAATTATGTGCTCTGCCAAGTGAATACAAGGTCTCAAATTGAATTGCAGCATCCCTGGGCAACTATTTTAGACACTTTGGTAGAATGTAAATGCATATTTTCTGCATGCCAGATCCTGGCTCCATATCCATCAAAGTAAATCCTCAGTAGTTCCACTGAAGGCTTGGAACAATCTTAAATTATGTTGTGGAGGTCACATTGTGACCCTGAAGCTCTGGCAGAGACCCAAACCAAGAAATTTGTGTGGGAAACTGGGGAGGGAATAAATTAGCACTTGCCTATGCTTTTTGTGGA